TGTGGGACAGACAGTGTAGAAGTCTTTGTTTTCTTGAGGGTCTGAATTATATATCTGCATAGTCTGCCATCTTGGCTCCATCTCTCTTTCACCTTCTGATGCTTCCTGTAAATTCAATATTGCAACTCATAGAATCCTCCATTATCATATCTCCAGGCCTGAATATTTTCTTCAATTTTTTCAGCTTCAGAAATGCCCAGTGCACAACTTTTGTTTTTCTAACTCCAGTTCTTTGCATATTTCATTATAATACCAGTAGTTTACTCTATCTTCAGCTCTTTGACTTCATCATTTCTTCTCTTTGCTTTGGCTACTCTATGTTTAAGACCAAGTTTCAGAGTGTCTTCTAACATTGGTTTTGTTCTTTTCTTAATGAGCTTCTAGCTTTTTTATGTATAATGTCCTATGTGTCATCACGCACAGCTGGTCTTTGATCATTATTGTTCAGTGCATCAAATGTATTCTTGAGATGGTTCCTAAATTCAGGTAGAGGACATGCAAGGTTGTGTTTTGATCTTCATGGACTTGTTTACATTGTCCTTATCTTCAATTTGAGCTTATTTGGGGGCAATAGATGGTCAGTTCTGCTGTCTGTACCTGGCCTTGTTCCGACAGATGATATTTAGAATCTGTATTGTTTCTTTCCACAAATGTAATTAATTTGATCCCTGTGTATTTCATATGGGTAGGTACATATGGATAATCCTTACGTATGTTGTTGAAGAAAGGTACTTTTAATACCTTTTTCAAAATTGTATCATGCAACCCCCGGAATTGTTTTTATCATCAAAGCCATATTTTCTAATCACCAATCCATCTTTTATATTTCCAACTTTTAAATTCCAGCCACTAGTAATTTTCAGACTTGATAATTTTTTTCTTCTTTAGCGCCAATGCTTGATGCATAAATTTAGATAGTAATCATATTAACTGGACTTCATTGTAGGTTTATGGATATTATCCTAACACTGGTAGCATCGTACGTCAGGATAGACCTCGAAATCCTCATTTTGATGATGAGGAATTTAATGCTACTTTTCTTCAATTTGGAATTTCTGGCATAGTAGACCATAATCAACACATCTCACTGCCATTGAGTTGATTGTGACTCATAGTGACCCTACTGGACAGGATAGAACTGCCCCTGTGGGTTTGCAAGACTGTAACATTTTTACAGGAGTAGAGAGGCTTGTCTTTCCCCTGTGGAGTGGGTGGTGGTTTCCTACTACTGACCTTGTTTTTAGCAGCCCACCACTAATACATCAGGGCCATATGATTGTTCAATTCAAAATGACCAATTTCAGCTCACTAACACCTCAGAAACCAAACCAAACTCTATGTCAACTCATGGCAACCATAGGATTCATATAATCTTTGTGCACTCCATTTCATTTTTTATGACATCTAATATTAATAGTCACACTACATGCATTCTATGTTCTAATTACCAATAGACCTTGTCAACTGTTTCTTTTCATTTTGATTCAGGTGAAATCAGCAAATGAAGGTTCTAAAATCTTTACTCCATTCATTTCAATAAGGTTTGATTTGACTTGGGAGAGTACCTCCTTCTTAGTCATATTTTGAGTGCCTTCAAACTGGAGGGATTCATTTTATGGCACAATACAAAACAATGTTCCACTGGCACTTATAATGTTTTCACTGGTCAATTCCTTTGGAAGTAGATAGCCACGATCTTTCTACTCTACCTTAGTTTTCTTTTCTACCTTATGGTATTTGAAATACTGGTGGCATAGCTTTCAGCATCACAGCAACACACAAGGCTCCACAGTATGACAAACTGAGAGATGAGTGGTAGAGGTCTTAGTATAGACAAGCAAAGCAAAGCAAAGCAACACACACACAAGTCCATTGCTGTCAAGTTAATTCTGAATCATAACAACTCTATAAGACTGCATTCAACTGCCTATAGAATTTTCAAGGCTGTAATCTTTACAGGATAGGAACCCTGATGGTGCTGTTATATGTACATTTGGACTGTTAACCTTAAGGTCAGTATTTCAAACTCACCAGCTGCTCCATGGGAGAATGAGGCTAATCTGCTCCCATAAAGATGTGCACACTCAGAAACCCTATGTAAGGTTGTTATGAATCAACACTGACTCAATGGCAATGAGTTTGGCTTGGTTTTGGAATCTTTCTTATGCATATGTAAAATTTTCTCATTTTACTTAACTTTTTATTGATATATAATTCATATATCATATAAATCAGTGGTTCAAACACATCAAAAGACTTGTGCCATCCCTTCCCCTCCTGGTCTCACTACTCTCATTATTGGTCCTGAGGGGTTTATCTATCCTGGATTCCCTGTGTTTTCAGCTCTTAACTGTACCCGTGTACATGCTCATTTGTAAAGTAGAAATGGGGTCATGATAGTAGTGGGAGGAGGGGGCAAGCATTAAAGAACTAGAGGAAAGTGGTATGTTTTGTTGGTGCTATACTGCACCCTGAGTGGCTCATCTTTTTCTTGTGACCCTTCTATAAGAGGATATCCAATTGTTGTGACAACTCTTTGTGTGTGAGAGCAGAACAGTGCACCAAAGGTTTTTCAATGACTGGATTTTTAAAGTAGATTTCCAGCTCTTTCTTCTGAAGTTTTTCTTGGTATATTCAAACCTCCAACCTTTAGGTAAGCAGCATACTACCTTAACTCTCTGCACTTTTCCATGGACTAAGTTATTCTCCAAGATCACTAGTCTTGAGTGTCAATAAGAATAGAACATAAATAATATAAATTATTATAGATAACACAGACCTTTATGTTGCTCTATACTTTACAGCAGATCTGGGCTTGTTGTTTTGTGCCTTCAAGTCAGTTCTAACTCATATTGACGCTGTGTCCAACAGAAGGAAACACTGCCTCGTTCTGCACCACACAAACAATTATTCTTATGTTTGATCTCATTGTTGCAACCACTGTGTCAACACATTCTGTCAAGGGCCTTCCTCTTTTTCACTGCCCATCTACTTTACCTAGCTTGATGTCCTTCTCTAGGGATTCGTCTCTCCTGACAACCTGTCCATAGTATGTGGCAGTCTCACCATCCTTGCCTCTAAGACGCATTCTGCTTTTACTTCTTCCAAAACATATCTGATTGTTCTTTTGGCAATCCATATCACTTTCAATTAATTGTCAGCACCATAATTCAAATGCATCAATTCTTCTTTCATCTTTCTTACTCAATGTCTAACTGTTGCATGCATATGGGACAATAGAAAATACTATGGTTTAGATCAGGCAAAACATTTCCTTGATGTAATGTTCTTAATTTTCAACACGTTGAAGATATCTTGGGAAGTATATTTACCCACTGCAATGCATCGTTTGAATTTTTTTGGTTGGATGCTTCCATGAGCATTGATTGTGGTTTCAAGCAAGACAGAATCCTTGACAACTTCACATTTTCCTTCTTTATCATGATCTTACCTATCGGTCTAGTTGTGAGAATTTTTGTTTTCTTTACATTGACTTGTTAGTCACACCAAAGGTGGCAATTCTTTATCTTCATTAGCAAGTGTTTCAAGGCTTCCTTACTTTCAGTGAGTAAGGTTGTGTTATCTGCATGTTCCAAGAAGTTAATAAGCCTTCCTCCAAACCTGGTGCCACATTCTTCTTCATATAATCTAGCTTCTCTGATCATTTGTTTGACATTCAGGTTGAATAAATATGATGAGAGGATACAACCCTGATGCACATTTATCCTGAGTTTAAACCATGCAGTATCCCCTTGCTTTATTTGCACAGCAGCCTCTTAATCATAGCTTGGGTTTTGCATGAACACAATTAGGGGTTCTGGAATCCCCATTCTTTTTTATTTAGCCACAAACCTGCAAAAAGGTGCCCTTTAATGATCACAAGAATTTCTATACAGCAGGACAGACATTAATAAATGCTACAATTTTTAATCCCTTGCTGATAACTATTATTTCAAAGTTAGTTACATTCTTGAGGAAAATGCAAAGGTTCTAATACATGTTCTGTGATTTGACAGGATCAATGCCACTGTTAAGTAGGTCCTCCCAATATGAAAACAATTGTACTTTCTTGTCTTCTCATTAGATATAAATACAGCATCAAGAGTGTTTAAAAATCATCATTCAGTTATTCGAAAAAAACTTTGACTCGAAATCATTGCTCCAAGCAAAATATGCTTTCTCTTGTTAAAGCGCACACATCACAATGATTTATGCTCTACTTTAAACACGTCGTCTCAGTCTACGTACAGCTCTACTTCTAGAGAATGAAGCTCGACTGGCAGTTAGGAACAAGTTCTGTTCTTTCCCTGAGACTGACTGCTACTCAAATTTGTACCCAAGTCAGAACAGCTCATAGCAGTTGCTAGCCAACATCAGGTAATCCAATGTTTGTCTGTAAGTATGTAGCGTACACTTAATATTGTGTACCTTCCACTGACACATCTCTAACAAGGATAGTAAATGCTCTGATGTGTGTTGCAAAGCAGTGCCATTTGTGATTACAAACCATGTGTGCATCAGATTTTCAGTGTAACGGGCAGCCTCCCAAGGGGCTGGTTCTGGTAACTACTTAAATCTGACCTTTGGAACTCAGGGTGGCCTATGTAACTTCACAGTCTCAATCAAATCTGGAGGTTTCTTTATTCAAAGAATGACTGTACAAGACTATTGGGAGGAATGATTTTTGTTATATAATATTTTGTAGTCATGCTTAATCAAGAAGGTCAACTTGTAAATATTCTGCTAAATAGTCTTAATACATTATACATATTTGTTTCGGTGTGGTAACATTAAAATAATCTGTGTCCTTTATCCATACAACTTCACAAACTGGGAGTAAATAAAGATACACAAGACCTTTTCTTAAAGCAGATAAGATCAATAGAGTTAAAATTATATTTATTGATAAGCTAAAGACTAGCCCTGGCCCTTAGCAACACCAAACTGCAAAGGAGCTCTTGGTGAGAAAGTATGGAAGGTGAGACTCTGACCTTGGGGTCTCATGAGTGGTCTACTTGAAGTGATCCCTCCACCCCCAACTGCTAAGCTGTATTAATATAAAGTAACTAGTCAAAATTTAAAACATTCTGATCAAAATGGGCCTGGACGTGCCTGTTGAAGCCTGGCTGGTCATAGTCAGGCGGGAACTGCTCACTGCACGTGGGGCATCCCTCCCAGTGACTCTCAGCACGTTCTTCAAACTTGCTCTGATCAGAGTTCGGAGGGAACATTCACTCACAGAGAGGACACTTCTTGTGAACATCAAAGCTGGAATCGAAGCCAAAGCCGGTGCCAAGCGCACGTAAATGCTGACTTGGGCCATCAGGGGCAGAGGACACATTCTCGTCTTCTTTGCCATCCTCGGGGTCTTCTAAGCCATCGGGTCCACTCAGGTTTCCAGCAGGCTGGCTGCAGACAATATTATCTTTTAGTCCCCGAGAGGGGACTCTCACGGGTGGCCTTTGGATTTCATCTGGATAAAAAGCATCATCTGCTCCATCTCTTCTTTCCTGTGCTGCATAAGGATTGCCGTACTGCAGAGCTGGCTGTGTACCGGGCAAGGCGGGAACCTGACCATTCTGCTGTGCGCACTCGTGGATACGCTGTGAGACCTGCTCTGCGCTCTGGGGATTCGGGCCTTCCATTTTCCTTTCAGCTTGGTTTTCTAGACTCCTTTTAGTTTCTTTATAATTGTCTTCTACTCCAGCTAGTTGTAGTTTCACACTTGCAGTGATTTTCATTTGCTCTTTCCATTTCAATTCCATTTCTGCAAGCTCATCAGCATATTTATTACATTTTGTTTTCTCTTCCTGCAAGAGTTGTTTACAGTTTTTATACTTTTCTGTTTTGTCAGCAATTTCTGTGGTCAGTTCACCAACTTGCCCTTTTGTTATCATCTCAAAATCAGTCTCAGCTGCAGACGGGACTGGTTTTACATCTACAGTAGAAGCAGCTGGAGGTAGGTCTGTGTTATGGAGACAGCATTCACTTGCTGCTGGCTCCCAACTTTCTTTGGGAAAGCACCATGATGGGCGGACTGGTCTGAAAGCCTGTTGATTGGTTTGTGGAGTCTCTGGCATTCCTTGACCTTTTCTTTATAACAATCTGCAGCCATCTGAAGGCGAAGCTTCAGATCTTCCACCTCTCTTCTCAGCTCGTGCTCCACTGGATCAGTCTTTTCCCGGTCGTTCTTTACAGCACTCAGTTTAAGTTCTGCCACTGCAGCTGCCAACTGCTTTTTGACTTTCTCGTTTTCCAGACACGCAGTATGTAGAGCAGCCATCGTCTTATCGCGGACATTTACAGCATCACTAAGTTCTTTGGCCAGAAAGACAACTTCCTGCCGGGTTGCCTGAACCTGTTCCTCTGCTTTCCGAAGCTGCTCCTTTAAAAGACATGTATCTTCCTTACTTGAAGTAAGCAAAATAGTCCTTTGAAGATTTTCCTTTTCAGCCAAGCAGAGCTGCAGCCTACCAAGCTCTTCTTTGAAATGAGAAATCATGTTTTCTTTGCTCCCATCTAAATTTGTTTAAGTCTGAATCTCTGACACAAGCTTGGTGTTTTCTATTTCTGTGTTCTTCTGATGGACCTTATACATTTCCTTCTCGTCCTTTTCTGCCTTCAAGTAACTTCCAACTTGTTCTCGTTCATGTTGTACCTTCCTCAGTTTGTCTTTCAAGCTGTCCAGTTCTGTTTCTTTTCCAATTGCTTTGTGTGTCGCCAACACAATACCTTCTTCAAGTTGGGCAGCTTTGGATGTAGCATCATCATATTTCTTCTTAAAGTCTTCATGTTCCTTTTCTAAATTTTGTGGTACTTCAATAAGACCCTCTTGTTCCGCTTGCAGTGGGCCCCCTTGTTCTTTCTCATGATTAAGTGCACTTTCCATTCTTCCAACTTGTTCTCGAAGTTGTGCCGTTTCTTTCTCCAGAGCAGCAATTAACTTTAACAGTTCTTCTTTCTCTGTCATGATTTTTTCAAGTTTCAACTCAAGAAGGCGAGCTTTTGTGGTCACCACCAACATGTCAGAATTCCTTTCATCTTCTATAGTTAACAATTCTTCAACTGGAGAAGCAGCTCGAAACTGGAAAGGAGTACTCGCTCCACAAATTTCACCCTTGTGCGTAACATAACACAGCTGATAACAATTCTCCATCATCGTTTGGAAGATAATATCCTTGAAATGCGAGAACACTACTGACTGTTGATCCTCCTACATAATGTTCAGGCAGAGGGGACCACAAAATGTGTAATAATCACGAGCTGGACTCCATCCAACCTTGAATATACTAACCCAATCTTTTGGATGGGGATGGCTATATGGGGTCAAGGTGTAATGACGTTCCAGATGTACATTAGGAATTTAACTCTTGGCCACATTTTGAAAGATGACATGGGCAAAATTGGATGACTGCAATGGGACTTCTTGAAAGGATGTCATTGTGTATCTGGGGGGGAAGAGGGTTCCGGAGTAGAAGAGGTGAGCTAGCGATGACTCTGATCCTGAGACGCCACCAGCAGCTGATGCTCTTGAGCTGCCTCCTCCTCCTCCATGCCCAGAATGGTGACACCTCCCTTCAGGGTCGTAAGCCGGTGTCGAATCCCCATTCTTATTAAGGTTATCCATAGTTTGTTAGGGTTCACACAGTTGAATGCCTTGGTATAGTTAGTAAAATACAAGTGAATTTCTTTCTGATATTCTCTGATTAATCAAGATCTATCTGAATGATATTATCAGCAATTAAAAAATCATTTTATTATTTTTTCACATCCTTTTCTGAATCCACCATGAACCTTTGGCAGCTCCCTGTCTATGTAATGCTGCAACCTTTGTTGGATGATCTTCTGCAAAATTTTACTTGGATGTGATACCAATGATATTGTTCTATACTTTGAGCATTCTACTGAATCACCTGTCTTTGTAATGGGTACAAGTATGGATGCCTTCCAGTCAAGTAATTCCCTTCCAACTTTCCTGGCATTGATGAGTGAGTGCTACCTGGGCTTCATCAGCTTGTTGAAACATTTCCATTGGTATTCTATCAATTTCTGGAGCATTGCTTTGGGCTAATACTTTCAGTGTAGCTTGGACTTATTCCTTCTGTACCATCATTTCTTGCATATGCATGCAGAAAATAAATAGTAGCATAAATAGTTAATTGCCCAAAATGGTATAATTTGAACAATTCAGCAATACACATAATCCCAAAATATTTTTCAATTGGAGCTCTTCTATTTAAAATGCCATCATTCAATTTTTTTGAACTAAGTTTTTATCATTCTCTAATATCCCCCACTTAAATATATGTATCCTTGCAAGGGATAATATTTTATGCTGTAACTATTTACTAGTACTAATTGTGTGTTGGTTCATTTTATGCATTCTATTTCCAGAAAAAGGCTTCTGGAAAAGGCTTTGAAAAGAGAGTTTTAGTAAATTACTATTAAGAGAAACCTTTATTAAGGAGGTATGGCTAACCTGGATCTTTAAGGTAAATGTGTGATTTCTTTTAATGTAGAACATGGGTTCTTAAACTTCATAATGATGCGACCCTTTAATACAGTTTCTTATGTTGTGGTGACACCTAACCATAACATTATTTTCATTGCTACTTCATAACTGTAATTTTGCTACTGTTATGAATCGGGGGATCCGTGTGAAAGGATTGTTCGACCCCCAAAGGGGTCGTGACCCACAGGTTGAGAACATTGTAGAAGGAGAATGTTTATGTCAATACAATCGTAATCTTGATGAGGACAGGGACCACGTCTGTTTGTACACCATTTTATTATCAGCAAAAGAAAAATGACTAATACATTGGGTTTATGTAAAAATGTTAAAGTGTTTAATCCAAATTCATTTTAATTAGAAAGTACGCTGTGTTCTAGTACCTAGATAAGGATAATTTAGTACAGGGTTAATGGTGATGCATGGAAAGGGATAAACAAGCCCTGTCTAAACTTTAGGCGCCGTGGAGGTGTAATGGATTATGTATAGGGTTGCTAAATCAGCAGGTACTCTGTGGAAAACAGATGAGACTTTTTACTTCTGTAAAGCGTTCTAGTCTCAGAAACCCACAGGTGCAGTTCTACTCTATTTTATAAAGTCTAGATGAGTTAGAATTGACTCAATGGCTGTGAATTTTTGGTGTGAACTCCAAAGAATGACTGTCTCAGTTGTAGAATGATGGAAAAAGCTAAGTTAATACAGTAAAAAAAAAATCCCTATTGGTGGTCACCTCTCCTTTGTATTCAAGTACAATTCTTCTGCTCTATGACTTCCTGCACTACCAGGAATACAAGCCTGGTACAGGCTTTGGTGGAAGTCTACTCAGCACTTTCTTCTCTCATCAAGGAGACAGCAAGGTGGAGTAAAATATTGAAGTGAGAGGGCTGATTTCTAGCTACATGTCAGATTCCAATTAGCTTTGGGACCTTTCGTCACAAGGGAAGTTACTTTACCAATTTGTGCAAGGTCTCTCCAAACGAGAATATGAATGTAAAAATGAAAAGAGTCTTATTTTCTTTGGATTAAATCCCCTTCACTGGGGTCACCAGAAAATTTATTATAGGTCATGCTACTTCAGCCTGAGGAGTTAGATGTGCTTTGAAGTTATCTCTGTTGACTCACCACTCAGTAAGAAATTTGAAATTCAACAACAGGCAAAAATTAATGGTGAGATGACTTGGCTCTCAAGTTTTTGTTATCTGTAACAGCAGATGTTTCCAGCTCTGTTTAGCAGATCTTGCCACAAAAAAGATGGGAAACCTTTATGGTCCCACACCTGGGAAAAAAGAGGATGTGGTCTTCAGTTGAGATGGATTACCATCTACTTAGAAGATGTTTTCAGAGTTAGTATTTAAGGAAGAACAGCAAAATTACAATGAACTCTTACTTATAAAACATCGTTCAAGTGTTAGAGTTCCTATAGAACATAGTCCAAACGTGGATACAAAAGAAAAATGGGAGCATTCTGGAGAGGCCAGTGACCAAATTATGATGTTTGTTGTGAGTTTTACAGGTAAGCTTTCTTTCAAATCCTTAGTTGTCAGCGAGACAATAAGACCTATTCTATGCCCATGCTTGGTCTAGGCCATGTTTCTGAGTAGGTAATATATTTGTCAAGGGGCAAGGCTAACATTTTAGATACAATAACAAATATTGCACTTGTATGCTCTACAATTAGGTCGATTGGGTTCAAATCCCACTTCAATCACAAACTAGCAGTTTAATTGTGGAAAAACTACACTTTCAATGGTCTAATGGGCATAACAACATTGTCTCCTTTCCCTATATGGTTGTCACGAGAATTAAATGATATGTGAAGTATCGGGCGTGTTATGAATGCTTGGTAAATATTTCTTGTTATGCACTAAGCCAATGTGACATAAATTGCTAAATACTTCAGCAATCTTCAGAAAGTTCAGATAAACAAAGATTAGAAAAGCCAAGGGTAGCTTTCTAGTGTAGATGTAATTTGAGCTGGCTTTGAAATGTATTAATATTTTCCCTTTTTCATGACCCACCAAAAATCACAAAACAAATGATCTTTGCTAAAATATTTCTGGGCGCCAGGCATGTGGATTGCACATATTCACTCACCTCATTGAATATGCACAGCAATGCTGTAAATTGTGTCGGGGGGTAACTGTGCTTCAGATAGTTTAGGAAATGCAACTCCTACGTGAAGGAATGGGATTCCAATGTAGGTCTGTCTGACTCCAAAGCGTATGCTCTCAACAGTACACTAATTCAAAAAGAAAGATAGAAAGAAGATCCAGAGATCCATGAATGTAAAAAGTTGAGAATTTGTGAAAAAATACTTTAAAATAAGTAGTTATGGATTAAAAAATAATAAATCTCTCCAATTTCTTGGGGAAAAAATAAAATCAGGAATACATTTTCACTTCAAAAATGAGTCAATTAATCAATCAAGTGCTCACAAGTTGGACATTGAAAACTAATAAGAAATCTCAAGAAAATATATTTTGATGGAACTTACTGTTATTAAATTCCAGGCATCCAAGAAGAAGAAAATAAGCATTCTAAGATAAAATTTGATTTGCTGCAATATAATTTTATGCCTTTTAGTTGTTTTATATTTTTTTAAATTTATTCAAATAAATGTGTACATCATGCAACACTGGATATTCTAAAACAATAATTGTTTAAAATTTGAATTAGATCATTTTGAATGTTTTAGAACTGGGCATATTTTTCTGTCATTGCAAGCTTAGAGTACATGCTTTTCTTAATAATATATTGTGACATAAAGCAATATTAAAAGTTCAAAAGTGATTATGCCATTTAAACAACTATTACACTTTTTAAATTTAAAATAATTTCTGATTAAAATAATAGAACCATGACTTTATTTTCTAAGAACCTTAACACAACGTGATCTTTTTGTCATGGTTTTGTTTTCTCTTACTGTTACTTTTCTTCCATATGATCACTATCAGGAGAACTATCAGAATGCAGATAATTAGGTAAGGTTATACAATTAGACAGAAAATTACTCAACAATTTCCTTGTGTCTCTAGTGAAAAGGAAACTATAATATATCAAATAATGAACAGTATTTGTAAAGAGGTAATACACTAGTCTGGTGAAAGGCAACCTTGTTATAAACAATGTGTTAGAGCAGTGGTTTTCAGTGTGGCTATTGGAAAGAATGGCGAGTTTTAGAAAGTGTAGCTCCTTGGGCCTCTTCACAAACCTACTAAACCTGAGACTTGCGAGTGCAAAAAGTCCACTAGATGACTATGAGATACACTTTGAGAAACACTGCCTTAAAGTGGAAATAATAACTTCCGTCTAGGTTAATTAGTGAAGACGTAGAAGAATAGAAGTTACTTTGAGCAAGGCCTTAAAGAATAATTAAGAATGATCTGTTCTATACTCATTTCTCCAGCTAAAAGGAATATGATGGAAACCAAGCAGATTTATGTTTTGAAAAGAAACATGAACTTTGGAAATTTATGTAGAAGACCTTCTTAGAGTATAATTTCATCAAAGGCCTAGAAAATTCACTTTTAAGAATTTAGCCAGAGGAAGTAGTTGCTCAAGAGTACACAGATGCGCGTACGTGAGAATGTGTATAAAAGCATTACTTCTAATAGTGAAAAAATAAAAATCTACCTAAACATTCTATCAGTTGTCTGTCAGTTTGTCATAGGGTGGTAGCTGGTGTGCTGCTGTGCTGCTGGAAGTTATGTCACTGGTATTTCAAATGCCAACAGGGTCAGCCAAAGTGAACAGGTTTCAGCAGAGCTTCTAGACCAAGAACAGGCAATCAAGAAGGAATTGACTGCTTACTTTGGAAGAAGTAGCCACTGGAAACCTTATGCATAACTTGAAACATAGTCTGATTCTGAAGGCCTAATGAGTGGACGTAGAACATTCTCAGATATAGTATCACAAGATGGTCCCCTGCAGTG